TTTCGCTCTTGGTACTTCCATTGTGTCCCAACATTCATTTCGAATAATATATTGAGTAAATTCATTATGAAGCAAACGGTAGTAGTCATCTTCTTTTGCCTTCTGTATCGCCAATTCACACTCCGCACTAAACGACTCCCGCTGACTAGGTAGCAGAAAGTCTTCAACGTGGACAGCCGAACTTCTTTCCTTCAATAATTTGTTAACCTCTGCTCTTATCTCATTCAAATCGGATAGAACACTGGATCGAGTAAATTCACCCAGTGTAGATGACCCCTCCATTGGGGTTTGCATGGCGTCTGAGACACCCAAAAGTTTTTCCTTTTTCCATATTGGTTCTTTCCATGAATCAGAAATGGGTTCACCGGAGGTAATAAAATGAATCACTGTGTCATGACCTCCACAAACGAAGCCACAATCACCATTCCATGCACACAAAGAAGTTATCCCTTCTTTTCCCATGTGCCTTATGGGGAATTCACCTTGGGGCCTTCTCTTTTCTTTGGAAGGAGGGATAGGTGTCAGCTTTAATAGATAGTGTGAGACGTCTCTTACAACCACCTTTCCATCAGCCCCACCGGAAAGAACAGCCGTTTTTCCAAAATATTGAAGGACAGAGCCGCCGCTGCCCTCATGATCACGCATCAAAAATAATGGACGCAGAGGTTTGATGTCTCGTTCTCGTCGGCGCTCCAAAACGTACAATTTGGTGTCTTTGTCTACAGAATGAACCAAAATATTCACCACATCATCGTCAAGATGAAGTGGGAGAAAGTCATTGACAGGGTAATCTAGTCGCCACACCGCTTCCACAGCCACAGTATCAAAAGACGATCCATCAGTGCCAATACATTGAACCATGTTTATTTCACCATTGGTACAAGCCGCAAAGACCGAGAGGTGCCCACCAATATTCCACCGAATTTTCTTCACCTGAGATGTGAGACTGTTCAAAGAACCACGAGGGTAAAGCAGATTGTCCTGTAGCGCAAAAAAGTACACCGTAGTACCGTCACTTGCAGCCAAAGATGAGACCCCATCAGATTCACAGAGAGTAAGAGGCATCTCACCCAGTGTTATCTGTGAAGAAAATGTAAATCCACCATTTACAATAAAAGAGCGAACGCATCCACTGTGATACACTACAATCACCGCCGATCTTACAGCGCAAGCATCTATTGCCTGATCACCAAATTCCGTAGTAAATTGACATATAATATTCTTTTCCTTATCGTACCTCATGAAGCTTCCATCCTCAGAAACTGCTATAACGTAGTCACCCAGGGTCAAAACCTTCACTGTATTCCCTGTTTCACGTACACACATGACGGCAGATTGTTTATTATTAAGGTCCAACTTTGTAACCTCAGCCTGGGTAACAATCACGGCATCTGATCCATTCTCAGAGAGAAACAATCGTTCTACAGAGTACTCAACACGAAGAAGCAGTTCCAATTCCTTCTCATCCATATTGTAGCCAAATATCGCGCCATCCTCAGTTCCCACCAAGAGAAAAGCATTAGCAGAAACAATGTAAGTAACCGCACCACTTCCTGGGCAAGTAAGATAGTCCTGCATTTCCATCTTTAGCTCATCAAAAAGAATAATTGCTCCCTGTTGCAGTCCACAAAGTATACCATACGCACTCCAACAACAAGAATAAAATTCCTTGCCATGCGAGTCCAAAGAAACAACGTTGGAAGGGGATGATAACAAAAATAACTGACTTATAAGAGCAACTTCTCCAGCATCCCACACGGCCACGCAGTCTTTTCTTTGCGGAGGAAATGCCAAATATTTCCAAAATTTGTCAGCTAATTCCACGGATATGCGTCGCTCAAGTGTACGTCCACGCTGGAGTGTGAATACCGTCACAGAACTACATGGAATACACGTCAGAAGTGCCAATATCTCTCCATTTGGTGAAAATTGCATGTCCTGAACCTCCACTTTTGCAACTTCTTCTACTTTTTGCACACGATTAAACTCGGGGTAACTAAACACGTGTAATACAACATTGAGCCTCGTCTCAGTCACACAAATCAAGCGAGGCAAAGATGAATAAGCCAGATGATCAATGCGATAGCGACCATCTCCAGGCACCCATTGGTTCGACTCTCCTCCACGCTTGGTAACAACACAGCTTCCAGCTCCAACAAGAAGGGTGTTGCCCACGGGACAAACTGCAGAAGAAGAATTAAATCCAATTATAAATCCGTTTAAGGACATCACGATAAATGTAAGAGGACTTGGTAAATTATAAGATAAAAAGTAAAGGAAAAGGAAGCGAACAAATAATAAAAATAATAACAATAATAATAAAACACAAAAAATTATTATAAAAGGAAACAATCAAGAATCCACATATGTACAAATATTCGTCTGAGAAAGAGGGGAGTTAAGGATAATAGACTATAAACGGCTCAATTCCACAGACGCTGACGCAAAGTAGATAAATAAATGATTAAATAAAAAGGACTTTCACGAAACTCCAAGCCCTTGCTGAATCGCATGAATCCACATTTCCATTTTTTCATGGGATTCGGCTTGAAACCACATCGACTTACCGCCGATGGTGTTAAGAGCAAAAACAAACTCCCTCTTGGCCGTACAAATCGGCACCGGGCATGCGCTTTGAACCTGTTCCAGACTCAACGCCTTTCCCTCCCGATCCGCCTCACTCTCTGATAAAATCAGCACACCGCGAGAGATCTGCAGAAACCTCTCTTTCCAAGAATGAACACTCCCACTACCCAGCTTCTTTACGTAGCCCTTAAATGACACATCCAAATTGATTTGACCCACTAGGCCACTGCGCGGCTCTGAGTCAGGCGCTGAAGAAAGAATTTCAGACACGTGAGAGATCATTGCCTCCTTCACAGTCTCTACAATCCGTGTATTCTTCTTGACAATTTGCCTAAAAACTTTTAATCCTTCCTTCACATATGGGAGTTGAAATACTTCCCGAATACTAGGCCGTTGATTTGCATCAACAACAAGAATGGCACGCACCAGATCTCGTAGTTGTGTCGAAAAATTCTCAGAAATCGGGGCGTAATCACCGCCAAGAACCTTTGCCATCAATCCTTTCATGTTGGTGGCAGTAAAGGGCCTTTTGAGCGTTATAATTTCATATAATAAAACGCCCAAAGACCATACATCGGCCTTTTTACTATACCTTTGATTGTTCCATATTTCGGGTGCCAAGTAGTAAGGTGTCCCACAAAATGTGTTTGCAACCACACCCGAGACAGTGTCATCGTACTGATGGCTAAAGCCAAAGTCACCAAGCTTAATTAACCCTGTCGAAGTAAGAAGAATATTTGCACTTTTGATATCCCGGTGGAGCATCTTGTGACTGTGAATGTGGTCCAAAGCAAGGCAAAGTTGCAGGAATAGAAATAATGCCTCATGCTCTCGAAAATGGCGGAAACTATCATGAGACCGCGCCTTTATTTGCCTATCAAGATCCCCAGAATCGGCAAACTCCATAATAATAAGCAGCTGATCGTTTTCCTCGTGATCCTCAATAAAACGAATGATGTTCGGATGATTACAATTTGCCAAACACTTAATTTCACTATAGGCGTACTGCTTGTCCCGAGAAGACATTTTTCCCAAATCCATCAATTTGGCCACAAATATGGAGTGATCTTCCAGACGTTCAACCAACCATGCCTCTCCATACGAGCCCGTTCCTATGAGTTTCTTTTTAATATATTTGCATTCATTCTCAGCAGCGTCCACTCCCAGAAAGGACGTAAAGGTCGTCATGTATGCTACTAAGATTACTGGCAAGAATAGGAAAAAAAAAAAAAAAAAAAAAGCAAAAAAAAGGTTCCTATTCTTCTTATATGAGAGAGAAAAACAGAAAACAACAATACCATAAAATAAAGTAAGCAAAGGGAACCAAAGGCACTCTCAAACCAACACCGTCCGGTCGCGAAAAAAAAAAAAAAAGAAAGCGCCACCATGCTCGCCAAAAACAAGAACAAGATCAAACGTTCAGGACGGTGGGAGCACGCACGCGGGGCGGAGCGGCTCTTCCCCCCCTCGCCAGGCCCGAGGCCGGCAGACCAATGGGGCCGGTTTTTGCGGGCGCGCTTGCCCGAAAGCCCCCTCTTCCTTGACCATTTTTTCGCAATACTGTGCCACATGGCGGCTTGCTCTGTTCCGCGCTGCGTGCCATTTCTCCCCCGGTTGGCCGCGACAGGACGGGGGCTGGGTGGGCGGCCGCCCGCGTTTTTTCATGGCTGCTCAACTCTTTTTTTCGGGCACCCTGCCCCGAATCCGTTTCTGGCGACGGGCTCGGCGTCCCGCGGGTCGCGGGGCGTCCGGGGGAAAATATTGCCTCCGCCCCCGGCCGTATCCCTCGCGCTTCTGGGGCATATGCGGCCAAAAGGGGGTCATGTGAAGGCGAGTGGGGTATCTATAAAACCGTCTTTCGCATTTTTTTTTTTGGCTTCAGTACCGCGCTCGCGCTCCACTGGCTTGCGCGCGGCTGCTTTCCTACTCGCACGCCAAACGTGTGTGTTGTGTGACCGTTTGCGGTAGATATCGCTGCATTGTGGTTGGTGTCTCGCCCGGAACTTGTGGCCCAAAACAATATTTCCATCGCTTTTCGGAGGCATCAGCGAACTGAACCTCAATATCGCTTGCTTGGTTGATTAGGATTCTCTGCGTGTGACGTGCACGCCACTGCTGCTGTTGCTCGTGATCATATCTCCTTCTCGGTGGCTGAGCGAAATGCGTTGGAGGCGCAAGCATCGCGGGTGATGGGCGATGTGCCTTTGAAGAGGGATGCGCTTCTTTACCACGAATGGTTTTACTTTCAGAAACGATCTGCATCACGGGGCAGAAGGTGTTGGAAGGCTTTGCAAGGGTGTTTGAGGACATCACGGAAGGATCGCCTTGGTATGTTTGTGGGTTGTTCATCATGATGGCGCTTGTGAATTCACAAAGGCGGACCGCGCAAACTGGACTTTTCGGCCGCGACGATAACTCGGCGTGAGAAGGGATTACCGGAATATTGAGAGCGATTTGCTGCATGTTGTTTTTTCTGGGTCTGTTGGCTAGTTTCTCAGCGTCCTGTGCTGGGTGGAGAAGACGGTTTCTGCACTTGCAGCTAACTCCTTAATTCTCATCCTGCAATGGAATGACGACTTTTTTTTGTGCCATGATAGGAACCATCGTTACGTTGGACCCCTTTTGTATTTTATGATCCGCTGGGGCTGCTGAATGGAATAAATCCATTTTCACACTCCCCTTGGTTTACTTATTGGTGTCTTATTGTGAGTGAATCTCAAGTGCAGTGCGCTTGGTGCCCTTTCTCCCTGCGGACAAAGACTCGGTAGAACTTGTGCTCGACTGTTGCCTTCAATTCATTTTTTTAATTTTTTTGTACTTCAGTGCTCTGAAATCGTGACACAAATTCTTATTTCATGAGGTGTTTATTAGAGAGTGCAGGAGCCGCAATGTATGCTGTTTTCTTGTGGATGGGTACTGTTTCTGTGCGATTATCCGCCTACAACGCCAAAGGCATGCTTTACCAGATGATTGTCGTTATGTGGCTGTTTCCGTTCTTGCTTGCCGTGGCCGATTGAGTGATGAAAGCTTAACCAGTGCGGCGGGGTTTCATGAAGGATTCATGGCGAGAATGGATTTGACACAGAGGAATGTTTTGTTTGTACAAGTTCAATTCGTACATGGCCGTTTGCGATGAAGACTTAAAAAAAAGGTCCATGCTGGAGTGGCCTTTTCATTACGGGCTTTATGATTGTATTGGTGGTGCATGTTTCTGAGCTTTCTCTTAATACTCTGTTAAATGATTATCGGGGTGCGGGTGCTCGTTTTGAACATCGGGGTGCATTTGTGAATGACGGTCTTTTATTGAAGCGACACAAGGCGCAGAGCAGGTGTCGGTGACATATAAAAGGGTTTCAGGACTTTGTTTGAGCATTTTATTTATGTGGGTGACATAAAGAGGAGACAGAAATACATAAGCAAGGAGGCGGGGCTTCATCACGAAACAGACGGAACGGAAGGAATCTGTCAACGCATCGCGCTGCTTTTTTATTTTATCGTTTGTGGATTGGCTTTGTTTATGTGGAAGAGGGCACGTGCGAGCGGCAACTGCGCACCAGTGTGGATGTGATGGTGGTGAGGGAAACGGCATTTTTTTCCGGGATCACGGGTGAAAACTTGCTTTCGCGGTGCTGTGGGCATGGATGACTGACGAGGGGGAACGTATAAAATGAGTTGGGGTGCACGCATTTGCAGAGAAAGACTGCCATGCTTTTTTTTTCTGGCGTTTATCCGTTGTTGTTTCCCTTTGATTAGGAGGGCGACAACGCTCTGCGACAACAATCTTCATTCATGCGAGGAACCATCCCCAATGGTGCTGATGGGAACGTAATGCGGCCAGACGAGAATAATCAAAACGACCGTGAGTGTGGTGCGAGCACCTGAAGGGGAGACGAAATGAACGGAGGTGGGTTGATGCATGTGGCAGGAGGCGTGTCTGAGGAAAGTCTGCGAACGAAGGAGTGACCTTCGTTTGGCGGTGCTGCTGTTCGAAATGCGAGGGAGGAAGAAACACAAGTGCTTTCTGACATGTCGGTGAGTGTGCCAGGGCCACCGATGAGTTCTCGGAGAGGGACAGGAGGGAGGGAGACGGAGACTGTGCGCGTCTACTGCAACTTGTGGTGCCACAGGATGCATTTTCCGTTGTGAAGAATGCAACGTTCGTCTGCATCTTATTGCCTGAAGAGCTTGCTGGTGCCGCGAGGAGGCGCAGAAGACCTCTCATTATTGGGTTGCCGTTGCTGTTTTTTGTTCCTCGCTTGGCGGGAGAAGCAACTCTTCGTGCACGTGACGTGCTGGTCTGCATCGATGCTCCCCACGGGTTGTCACGCCGCCGTGCCGTTGCAGTGCAATTCTCGCGCTCCTCACTGCACACGTGGCTCCCTGTCGCTTGTCTTTTTTGCAGGACCGTGACCTGCGGTCCCCCATTGGGAGGCTGCTCACTTTTTCCCCTAATTTTTGTGTGCGTGCTGTTGAGGGGTGCTGTAGAATATTGACTGATTGGATGGTGATGTTGTGTTTCGTTTTGAGTGGTTCAGGTGTGTACTGCTGTTGTGCTGCCTTTCTGCTTCTGTTCTCTGTTGCTCCTTATGAAGAAGGAAGTTACCACCAAACGCGAATCGCCACTCTGGAATTCGAAGGCTCTGAAAGGACCAACAACCGCACACACACATATATTTATATGCTCTCACGTGTTGCTGCAGTGAAGGCACCCAACGCACACAACCGTCGCCGCGTGACCGGATCCAGCGGAAGGATGAGGGGAGGAAGAGAGAGTGAGCCGCAGAGGCCCAACATGTCCCGGCGTGTGTTTACTTCCGCGGTGCTGCTTCTCCTTGTGATGTACTGTGAAGTTGAAGGTGCACGCGCTGCGGGGAGTAATGTAAGGGATACAGTTGCTGCGTTGATGGGGATTAAAAAGGAAAAGCTTGACATGTGGGAGGATGTTTCTGACGCTGGTGGTAAATATGGCTTGCTTCTTGGTCCCAGTCTTGTTGAGGTGCAGGGTCATGTATTTGCTATTGCTGAAGCCCACTGCAAGGATTGGGGTGACTGCAGCGACGCCAGCTTTACTGGGATTGCGTCATGGTACTTTGATTTAAGTGGTGTCGCTGGTCCAACGGAGATCTCGACGGCAGATACGAGTAACTTTGGCGCATATCCTCTAAAGGAAGGTTCTGAGGGCGTCAGCACCACAAACGGCATAACGCGACCAACGACACTTGTAATTGGGGACAGTGTTTACATGCTCCTGGGAAACTACAGCCGTACAGAGCAGCAGATTCAAGGTAGGAATGAGCGGGGCCCCTTACTCGTGAAGGGATCTCTCACTGATGAGGATGGAAAGAAGAAAATCAGATGGAATGAGACCCATGCAGTGAGCTTTAGAGCCCCAGGAGATCCTTAATTATTGACCGGGTTGGTGGGTGGCGGAGAATCGGGCGCTGTGCGCATGACTCTTTATTGCGGTGTGACGTGGATAGCTGTGCTCTTGCGTACGTTGTGCGGCGGGCTTTTCCTCTCCGCGTCTTTGCCCTTTTGTGTGTGGGAAAGTTGTGGGAGAGGATGTGTGCGGGAGTGAGCGTGGGTGGCTGCCAGCTCCGCCCCGCGCATTGGAGAATTCCATACAAGTGGATTTGCTTGACGGCGTTGCGCGGCACCCAGGGCGTGGCGAGGAGGAGGATGGGGAGGGTCTGTTGTGGGCAGAAGGTGGATGGACAGGACAGTCCCCTTCCGTGTCCTTCCCTGTGTCGTTGGCAGTACATACTGAGAGCGTAAATTTGAGCGAGTGCGGGATGAAAGGTTTATGCCGCTTTGCGTGTGCTACTCATTCGTCGTCATTGCACGCTGTCGTCACGGTGCGTTGTGGTGCGGTGCCGTTAGATGAGGGAGGGGCGCGATACTACGGCTGCTGCGCACCACAACCGTTTATTGCCTCTGCACCGTCATTGTTGTTTTTCGGTTTGTGTGAATTTTTTTTGCTTTACGGTGAATTTGTTGGAGGAGGTTTGGTTTTGGCGCCTGCTTCACGGTGCTGTGCCTTATTTGTCGGTTGCGGTTCTTCCACGTGATGCTGAAGCGTTTGATGGGGTGTTTACCCTTCTTTTTGCGCCCTGCAGTCAGTCTTGTGTGGTTATGGCGGCAGCAGTGGGACTCTGTGGCTGCGTGCTCGTCGCACGTGTCGCATCTTCCGCTGTTGCTCCCTCGCTGTGTTGGTGAGGGAGGAGGCAGGCGACTGCGTTGGTGGAGTTGCGCCCCAGTGGGAGAAGTAAGGCACCGACCGCACGATTGACGTGGACCCTTGTCCCCCGTGTCTGAGTGCTGCCACCGCACTTCTTTGTTCCCTTCTGCGTGTGCCGTGTGTGCTTATGGTGCCGCTGTTTGTTTTGCAATGCCGACCCACGTGAGGGAGGAATGCCGCCTTGACTGCTGGCGAACGGCGAGTCCTCCACTCCTCTCCCGTGTCACCATTACATCCTCGGAAGCGCTTGATGGCTGCTGGTTGTAACGCTGCCACGTGGGTCTGTCTTGGCTGTTTTGTGTGTCTTTCGCGGCATCAGGACTGCTCTGTGGTAGAACCATTTGGTTGCAGGAGCGGTGCCAATGGTCATGTGCCTCCTCTTCGGGATCGCACCACTCTGCATAGTGGTTGTGTGGGGCTGCGTGGGCGGTGGGAGGGCGATGGTGTCACTGGCGTGATTGTGTATGCGCTTTTTTTTGTCGGTGGCTGTGCTTCGGTGGGGACTGTCTGTGAACGGATGCCTCTGTGTGCCACTGTGTTCATTTGCTGTTGTTTCTGTCTTTTTTTTCTCTGACCGTGCAGTTAGAGATACTTTGGTTTGAGCAGCACAACTATCGTTTCAAGGTGTTAGGAATTACTCGCAGTATTAGGATTAGTAGTAGAGGGATAACGATTTATCGGAATTGTTTTTCTGGATTTTGCATTTGTAGAAATGGATCTGCGAAGCAGGAGCTACGGTCGACGGGGCGAGTGCAATACACCGCGACAGCTCTATCGTTATCTGTTTGGTTTGTGGATGTGGTCTGCGGTGGGTGGGTGTCTGCGCGGCCGGCACCGTGTGCGGCGCAGGGCCGCTGCGGCTGTGCGTGCGGCGCTGTTTTTGGTGTTGGCGCTGGCTGCTGCTGCTGTGTGGCTGCCTGCTGTGCATGCGGTGGTGCTGCGACTGCGGGGCGGCACGGTGGACAGAGCCATCACGGTTGGCCGCGCCGTGGACACGGTGCTGATGGACGGCGTTTACATCACGAACGGCGTGGCTGTTGTGTTTGACGTGCCGGCGATGCTTCCCGGCGCGCTGCGCATCGAACTGAGGGACTGCGTGTGCGACGGCGGTGCGCAGATCCACGTGCGGGGCGACAGCGGCGAGCCTGCGAGTGACCGGAGCCTGGAGGTGAGCGTGAGCGGGCTGTCCGGGAGCTACTGCTCGCTTGTGTTTGTGCACAACCTGCCGGCACACACGAACGTGACGGTCCGTGACTCGACGATCGTGACGGCGGGGCCGATGCGCTACTCCCAGCTGAGCGGGCTGACGGACGCGGTGGCGTCGCCGCTTGTGCTGCACGCGACGTCGCTGTTGCAGTCGCAGCTGCGTGTGAGCAACACTGTGATGAGGTCGTTGCAGGCGGGCGGGTCTGCGGTGCACGTTGGCGGCGGTGTGGAACTGCTTTCGAGCGCGGTGGTGCTTGACGGCGTGTCGCTGGAGGCGTCGGGCGGTCCGACCGCGTCCGCGTTGCATGTGGCGTCCTCGTCGATTCTCAGTCTGCGGAGCCACTCGGTATTCTCCGTGACGAACGTGTCGGTTGTGAGCAGCGGCGGCGGCATTGTGCTTGGCGAGCGCCTCGCGGTGTTTGATTCGGTGCTGCGCTTCGTGGGCGTTGAGGGGTCTGTTGCGTCGTCGCTGGTGCGCTGCGACGGTGGGACGATCGGTGCCGGCGGGTGGCTGGACCTGCGCGACGTGTGGGCGGTGGGCGGGGCGTCGTCTGTGGCGTCGCTGTCAGGGGTGAAGCTGGGCGGCGGTGCCGTGTCTATTGTGCGCTGCGCTGCCACCGGCGCGACGCTTGTCTCCGGGTTGGCAATCACGAGCGGCGTCGTGTCGGTGGAGTGCAACCGTGCCGGCGGCCGGGTGCTGCGGAGCAGCGGCGACTATCGCATGGCCGGCCTGCCCTCCGTGAGTGTGGTGCCGTGCGACGGCTGTGCGGCCGCTCTGGCGTGCTTCGATGCGCTGACGGCGTCGTTCTCCGAGTGCGTGTGCAGCTGCCGCGCCGGCGGTGTGGGCGACGCGTGTCTGCCGTTCGACGTGCCGCCTGCGAGGTCCGGCGGTGGTGGCGGTGCGCCGGGCTGCGTGAGTGGCGTGACGCTGACGGAGTCCGTGACGGTTGGCGGCGGGCGTGCGACGGCGTGCTTCGACTCGGTAATGTTCAGCGGGCCGATCACTGTGGCGGTGGACCTGCGCTTGATGGACGTGTTCGCTGACGCGCTGAACGTGACGCTGCGCCACTGCGTGCTTGCGGGCGGCGCGCAGCTGCGGATTGGCGGCCTCAGCGAGGGCACAGCGCGCCTGCTGCCCCACGCCCTCGTCAACATGACGAATGTGACGTCGCTTGAGGGCACGATTGTGCTGCAAGGCGCGATGCCGCTGCACTCGCGTGTGCTGCTGGCGAACTCAACACTACGCGCGACGGTTGGCGGGTCGCAGTACGTGACGAGGAACCCTGGCCTTGCGGGAGTTCGGTACGGCCCCGCGCTTGTCCTGGACGGTGTCCGGCTTCTGTCGACGTGTTTTGTCATGACGCGGTCTACTCTGGTGTGTGGCGGGGGCTCGTGCGCTGCGATACTCGTGGAGCACGGCCTTGGCGCCAACCTGTCCAGCGTCTTCTACATGGACAACTGTGCTGTCCTGTCGCAGGCGCACGTGATGTACGCCCTTGCGTCGGACCTGCGTGTTGGTGGTGGCTCCGTATTCTCCATACAGAACAGCTCGTGGAGTGCGCCGAGCATCGAATACTACGAAGGTGCTTGTGTGTTTGGGGACGTTGTGGTGGCTGGCGGCAGCGTGCTGCAGATTGTGTCCAGCACTTTCCGTCTCGGCTTTGCCATGCTCATGGCAAACACGCTGAACGTGGCTGGCGGCAGCTGGCTGGTGCACCGCGACAACGAGTTCCGCACCGCCTACGTTGTGTACGTGGCCAAGGAGAACGGCGTGGCGTTTCGCGATCGGAGTGTGTGGTCGATAATTGACAACAACTTCACGTACGGCTCGTACTCGTTGACCATCGCACAAATGACGAGCAACTGGTCACTGCCATCCGACTCGAGTCCGACCATCTACGGCGTGTGCAACAAGGCAAGGGGCTCACCTGTGACGGATTACCGAGAAGAACTCAATATTGGATCACCCGTGATGGTGTTGGACTGTGGTGTGTGCACGATGGACGCTGTGTGCTTTGCAGCGAGGACGAGCAGCATCAGCGGCTGTGAGTGCGTGTGCGCTGCTGGCGGCTACGGTGACACGTGTCTGCCAGCTGCGGTTCCGCACGGCCTTGGGCCGCTCCCGCTCCCCGATGCGAAGTACACGGAGGTCCGCTGCGTGCACGGTGGCAGCATCAGCTCCGTGGACTATCCTGATCCCGGTGTGCGTGGTCTGTGCTTTGTCAACGTGACCTTCACCGCCGCGATCGTGCTGGACCTGTGGAGCTTCGACGCACCACAACAGATACTCAACATCACGCTGCTGCAGTGCGTCCTCATGGGTCTGTCGGTCAAGGGGAGTGGTGCGCGCGTGCACGTGAACGTGACATCCTCGATGCTGGATTCTGGAGCGTTGGAGTTTGAGGGCCATTTTTGCACGAGCTCCCAGATACTGGTGGTGGGCAGTACGCTTGTGAAGACATCAGTGCACGCCATTGGCTTTCTGGAGTTTTTCCCTGGGAGAAACACGACGCTGCTGCTGCTTGACAACTACATTGAGGGGAATAGTTACGCAGTTTATTTCTCCGATGCTGTTGTTGTTGATGGTGGCGGGATCATTGTGAAGGGAAACATGCTGCGTACGATGGAGGATGAGGGTGTGGAATCATCTGTTTATGCTTATGTTGTTGATGTGAGGAACGGCGGCTACTTTGACGTGGAGAACAACACGATGAGCGCGGCCAATGGCTTGTATCTCAACGGGGACACCACCGTGAGCTCCGCGGGGCTGCTGCGAGTGGTAGACTGCACCTTCGTTGGTGGGACGAAAATTTTTGAGTCTTCGCTGGTGTATTTTGACGGCTTTGTGACCCTCCAGGGTGGTGCGCAGTGGCGTGTGGAGGGCAACAACATGAGTGGAACCTCATTAATAGGTATGCCAAAATCATTGTTCGAAATTCAGCTGTCGGGCAGCGGCACCA